CAAATTAATTTCCATTCTACCCATGTTTCAAAAAAATTGCTTATAAGGGGGGCGTCATCCCCTATGGAGTCACCCTTATAATTATAAGGGGGGCGCCATCCTTAATGAAGTCACCTTTAAACGATTAAGAGGAGGCGCCATCCCCTTTGGAGCCCCCCTTATTTCGTTAAATTTATTTAATTATTAATAAATTATATATTATATATGTTTATAATATTTATTATTATTTTATTTAAAAAATTTCTTGTATAAATAGATTAGGCTTGTATATTCTTTCACTCTTAAATTAACATTGTTTCTTATAAATTTAGCAGAGTGAATCATGTATCTTAGAAGATATGGGTATGTCATTTTCTCAAGAACCAAGCCTCCGATAAGGATGTTGTTTTGGAACATCCAAAGTTTAGAGCAACTACGAAGAAATTTGAATCGCTGGTTAGAAGGAGACATTCTAGATGGTGAAAGAATTAGAAGTATTGAAAGACTTGTTTCGTACTTCTCGATTGCAGATGAAAATATACGGTGGGAGTGGGTGCAAATTAAAGATGAAAACGTAGTTAGGTCTATGATGTTTGGAACTGATGATATTACTTTGATTGTTGTTATATCTTAGTTTATGTTGTAATAATCCTTATATTTTTAATGATTTGCTTTGTTGCTTTAGAAGTATTTCAATTTGTTTTGTGGTAAACAAAAGTTGTTATAAATATTAAATTCCAAGGTTACACATTTTTTAATGACCAAAGTAAATCTATCTAGAACTTGTTCCAACATTTGGACAATGTTTCCTCGTATGCTCGGGAAGACGACATATTTTGCACAATCTTTCCATTTTCTCAGTTGTATCCATTTCAGTTCTAATTTGTGTGCTTTTGGGGCGGCCCTTTTTGGTTCTTCTCGTATTTTCGTTGTGGTAAATTGTGTCTCAATGATAGGTTGGCCAATAGTCCTCAGTAGCTACCACTGGAAAATTGTTATTGTAGATACCGAATAAGTTCACAAACTTGTAAACTTTTGATAGTTGCAAGAATAGATCCTGACGAACACTGGAACATGCGGCAATGACATGTGAACAAGGCATGCGAAAGGTTTGAAACTTTCCGCAGTCGCACCAATTTTTATGAAATTCGACCCTGTAGTGTCCCATTGGCCGACCCTCATTGTGATCCTTTGTCTCGTCAACAATGAAGCTGTAATTGTGACGATCAAATGCTCTAACTCGATGTGAGGCCGCCTTAGCAGTTTCATCCTTCATATATTTCATACATGATTCGCTGAATATTTGCCCTGATTCCAAAATAGCGCTCCATTTTTTGCCTCTTGCCGCAAAAAGTGACCCTAATCTATAATAGGTTGCTCTTACCAACGCAGTGATGGGGAGGTTTCCAGTTCCCTTATATACGTCGTTTAGGGATTCCACAAAGTTTGTGGTCATGTGACCCTATCGACATCCTCCATCAAAAGCCCTTGTCCATTTCTCGACTGGAATGCTATCCACCCAGCTCAATGCTTCCGCGCTTGACAATCTTATTTTTTCGCGGTAATACATGAACGATGGTTGGTTTAAGGCATACCCAGCGTTCACAACTTTTTTACTGAGATTTCTGTCTTTGATTTCCCGCATAAAATTTTGAGCAATGTGTCTTATGCAGTAGACATGGACAAAAGGGAGATTGTGTCAACCATTAGCAGGATTATTGTAAGCGCTCACAATAGAGGCATGTATGTCGGAAATCAGACATAAGTTGGGTTAAGGAGCGACATGTGTTCTGAGATTTCTTAGGAAAAAACTCCAAGCTTCACCTGTCTCACCCTCGACCAGAGCAAAGGCAATCGGAAATATATTATCATTTCCGTCTTATGCAACCGCCATCGGCAATGTTCCTTTGTATTTTCCATACAACCATGTTCCATCGACTTAAATAACCGGTTTGCAAAACGCAAAACCTTTGATACACAGTTGAAATACCCAAAAGAGACGAGAGAATATCCTACTTCCATCAACACATGTTCCTTCAGGAGTGTATGCTGGAAGTGACTCCAATATTACAACCGTACCAGGAACATATTTTTGAAGTGCTAGCAAATATTGTGAAAGTTGATTGTAAGATTTTTCCCAATTCCCATATACATGTTCAACCGCTTTTATTCTTGCAATCTAAGCTTTCCTGTACGATGGGGTATAGTTGAACCGTACAACAACATGAGAGATAATTGTGCTCACCTTCACAGATGGATCTACGTCCACAAGATGCAAAATCTCTTGGCATATTAATTGGGAGCTTAGTTTACCATGATCTTGTCGATCGATGTTGGTTGTGCAACTATGAGGTGGATCCATCGAACCTATCTCCCAACAATCACTTCTTTTTCGATAGGACGCTGCTAACCGAAACTTGCAAAGTTCGTTGCGACAAACTACGACATAGCGTTTTGAGTCATTCTGGTTTACTTCAAAATCAACAAAGTTATCCATGTAAAACTTTATTATAGCTTTCATGCACTCTGCTTTTGTGCGGTACTGGTTCCCCACTTTCAATACATCTTCGATTTGTTGAGAAGGATTGTAGAACAAATCTGAGGAAGGCTCGTCTCCACTCAATTGCAAGTTAGTCATGTGTTGGGGAGGACTATACATATGACTTAATGGTAATGCCTCTTCATCTATGTCTTCAAGTGGAGTTATTGCGATGTAGTCCCCAGTCCCAAACAAATTCACCATTTGATCAACCATGGCTTCAGGTTCTTCTTCCTCCTCGTCAACTGCACCAACTTCATCTTGTTCCAATGACTGTGACTGATTTATTACCTGAGATTCACCAAACATTTGGGATTGTTGAGTCTGCCAGACTAATAGATACAACTCGATATAGTCGAATCCAGAGTTTTCATGACTATCAAACATTTATTGAACATCATTATCGTCTTGTATATTCTGTTGAAAATACTTGACCTAACTGTTTTCAAGGAAAATGAGACTTCTATATATGATTTGAGAGATTGGACCAGACAAAATCTTTGACTCTATTCGCTCTTTGAAATGCAAAAAAATTGATTTTTTGCTCATTGTTAATCGGGTAACATCAGTATTTTGAAACTCAAAACCGGAACTTTCAGAGAAGTATGTGTCTCCATTAAAATGAGCATGAACAATATAATTTGTTGTTCTAGACATATTTGCATGTATTGAAATTTAGTTTACATGATATTTACCGTCTTCATTGTATATTGATATATATAATAAACGTATTAGAATTAAATATTATTAAATCTTACAAGACGATCCATTAGACCCGACTCCACCACAAAAACCACCAAAAAAACGTACGTACTAGAGGATGCGGTACATGCGGACATTTACCTCGACCTAGTCGTAGAAATTAGTGTACCATATTTCCCCTATATACTCATTTGTTATTAAATGAACATATTAATTATTATTTAATATATTATTTATTAAATACAATTTAATTTTTAATTATTATTTAATTATTTTTTAAAATATATTATTTATTAAATATGATTTAAATATTATTTAATTATTAAATATTATTTAATAAATATTATTTATTAAAAATTATTTTAAAAAATTCGTTAAAAGGTGACTCCATTAACGATATCGCCCCCTTATAATTATAAGGATGACTACACAGGGGATGACACCCCCTTATAAGCAATTTTTTTTTTTTTTTGAAACATGGATAGAATGGAAATTAATTTAAAATGTTGGATAAATTGATAAATATTATAGTGAAACATGGGTTTTTGGGTAAAAAATTTACAAAATTCACCAAAATCCAGAAAAACCTAAGCCATACAAACACCCAGGAAGAGGCTATAAAAGATTCCAGCAAAACAATCAAAAAGGCCTGCTACACCAGTTACCACCCCATCAAAAAACCAGCTAGAACTCCCTTTACCATGCAGATGAGACACCCAAAACCTCCATATATGCATGACGGATGGAGGATCAATGCAAAACCACCGCAAAACAGAACTATTGGATACACTACTAACACCAAAGCATCTACGCAATCCCGAGGAACTAAATCGCCACATTATAACCAACACACCTGCAGAAGTGATAGATGACATCCTGCCTCTAGCCCAAATCAAACAATGCCAGAAAAGCCAAAGAAATAGGGTACACCCCAAGATATACTGCTAGCTTCTCCACCAATCCATATTATTCCACTCCATTTTTCTCTCTTTCATTCTATTTGCACCGTTCATTTTAAGATTTCTAAACATAGCCCCGCTACGAGTTATTGATCGTATAATCCACATGGAGTGTTACGCGTGTTGTTATCATACCATATCATACTCCTTAACAACACAAGTTAACTAACTATATTGGACCAAATTGCTTGTAATATTCCACCAACAACTTTAGGGGGAAAGAGTGATTTTACTTGAATTTTTGGCCTCTCAATCGAAACGAAGCAAATGAAAGGGCAGATAAAAATGAAAAGGAAAAACTGCAATTTGATTAATAACGTGTATTCGATGGTCATTACAAATAAACTAACTATAGGAGGCGTTTGTTTGAAGTTTCTAAAAATCATTTTCAGGTAGTACTAATTTTATGAGAATGGCATGGAAATCTAACCTCTTCATGTAAGCACAGAGCAAGCCTGACTGAACCAAACAATAACACTCTGCAAATAGAAGTTTCCAATTCATGCATCATTTGATTCCTTCGTTTAATTTCCAAAAGGCAATGCCTAATACAGCACAGATATCCAAGACATAATGCTAAAAGAATATATGTATATGACACCTATTCTTTATCCATCATCGATACAAAATGTTAAAGCAAATTTATAGTGAAAGTAGTTTAATGAATCCTAACTAAAAGAATCCAGGTATATGATACTTTTTCTTCCTGCAACATCTCCTCAATCATGTTTCAAATTTCTGATCATGAGTAAACTTATAGAGAATAAGGAAGATACTGTCGAGCAAAAGAAGCTCAGAACCACCAGAAATTGAGTCTCATATTAAGCATTTGGTAGAAGAACAGACTGCGGAAACGCATCAGACCCGTTATTAGGAGCACCCTTTATGTTGAGTATAGAAGTAATCAAGTTATAAATCTCAACATTCTCAAAGGAAGGTATCTTCTTCCCTCTCTCAAATTGAGGACCATGCCCAATAAAAATAGTCCTCATGGAGAAATAGGCGTTATCATAACCATGAGCACCACCACACTCTTTCTTCCCCGTCCTACTATGCTCCACCTTATAACCCTCATGAACCAATCCAATAATCGGCGGAATCCTATCACTCTCCGCATAATGAAGCCGTTGAGGCAAATCTTCCTTCAAAAACACCTTCAACTTGTTCCCATTTTCAACTTTCCCTGAGCTCAATCCTTCATTAATCTTAACCACAACATCTTCCGACGAATAATTACCCGTCGGCCAAATCGCAAGCAACGGCGAGTACGAATGAACCCAATTCTGTTGAATCTTAACCCAAGGGGCTAAATCATCTAAAAAAACAAGCTTTTGATCACAAGTACCAACCATACCATGATCACCAACCATAATAATTGTAACATCTTCAAAAAACCCTTTTTGTTCCAACCCATTAATGAGCCTCCCAATAATAGAATCAATCCTAGAAACAGCATCAGTAACCTCATCATCATCAGGTCCAACTTGATGACCTTGATGATCAGGGTCCTCAAAATAAAGAGTCATAAAAACAGGAATTTCATCAAGTGGCAAATCAAAATACTCCAAAACAGAATCAACTCTATCTTCAAAATTAACAGAACCATTATAATGTTTACAAAAACGATCAGGACAAGTCCACGAGCCTTTGATTACCTCAGAGCCAGGCCAAAAGTAAGTAGCGGCGGTTAAACCGTTGTTAGCGAGGGTTTCCCATAAAGGTTGACCTAACCACCATTTAGATTCGTGACTTGCCATGGTGAATTTATCGCCGGTGATTGGATCGGTGAAGAAATTGTTGATGATGCCATGGTGAGGAGGATAGAGACCTGTGACGATGGAGTAATGATTGGGGAAAGTTAGGGTTGGAAAAACGGGAATGAGGCCAGTTTGAGCTTCGGTGCCGTTGTTGATGAGACGGTGGATGTTTGGGGTTAGGGTTTTGAATTGGTAGCCGAAACGGAAGCCGTCGGAGGAAATGAGGATGACGACGGGATGGGGGAGTTTACGGAGGGGGCGGGTGGTGGATTTGGATGGGGAGGGGAGAGAGAAGAAGAGAGCGGCGAAGGTGATGGCGGTAATGAGAGACATGGCGGAGATGAAACTGAGAACAAGAGTTGGTTTGTGAGAAGAAGTTGATCTAGTGGTGTTGTTGAGTAGTGGTTCTTCTCCATCTTCTAATTGTTTATTGCTCTCCATGATTTTTTTTACTTTACTACTGATATTGATTGATGATTCTGCTTCTACTTATCAACTATGGAAGGAAAAAGAAAGGTGGAGTATATGATAAAAGAAAGGTGGTTAAGAGATAAATTAGCTTTATAATGAATAAAATATTTTTATGAGAAAATTAACTAGAAATTAATTTGTTGAATTTTTAATATTTACTCTTAAATTATTTAATATATATGGAGATTTTATAAGTCTCTTGGAAAAAAATTATCATTAGAGAAAATTTACGAAGAGAAATAAGTAGGAGAGAGTGTAAGAAGAGAGAAAGATACGATAGAAAGAAAAAAACCGTGAGAGATATAACAATTTTTTAAAATGATAATAATGTCCTTACTTAAAAAAAACTCAATTAAACAATAATTTTTTTTTAACTTTTACTTAATTTTATGCGCAAACAATAAAAAAAAGAAAAGAAGAAGCTTTTAATTGCAGTAAAATAGTAGAACAATTATGTTACAGAACCACACGGTAAAATAGGAAGTTATAATTGCACTAAAATGGAGTATATATTAGTGATAATAAAAAAGGTAAGGTTGAAAGAAAAAAAAGTGAAACTTGTTTCTCGATTTTTTCACCACAATACCCCAGTTTGAAATCAATATTTCCACAATATCCCACCTGAAATTTTTTTTACCATGATACCCTACTTTTGAAGGAGTTCGTCCAATCAATGGGCGAACTAGTGAAGGATGTGTAGGAGTTCGTCCTTTCCATGGGCGAACATGTTTGAAATTTCACGTGCTTGTATGAGTTCGCCCTTTCAATGGGCGAACTAGTGAAGAAGATGATTTTTTTTTTTTGTTTTTTAAGTTATTCATTTTTGGTTAATTCTACATAATATAAAACTATTTAATTAATTTAAAAAAATTATTTAATATAATTTGCTGAAGATAGCATTTTTGATTATTTAATATAATTTAAAAAACAAAAAAAAATCATCTTCTTCACTAGTTCGCCAATTGAAAGGGCGAACTCATGCAAGCACGTGAAATTCTAAACATGTTCGCCCATGGAAAGGACGAACTCCTACACATCCTTCACTAGTTCGCCCATTGATTGGACGAACTCCTTCAAAAGCAGGGTATCCTGGTAAAAAAAATTTCAGGTGGGGTATTATGGAAATATTGGTTTCAAATTGGGGTACTGTGGTGAAAAAAATCCTTGTTTCTCTCGTTTTTCTCTGCACTTCAGTGATGAAACTAAAATGTGATGTGATGTGATGAGACCAACACTAAATTAGACTTTCTCTTGATCTTCTCTTCAAACCAAACAAGAGAAATCATGCATTTCTCTTTAACTTCTCTCTCATCAACTTCATTCTCCCCAACTATTCCTTAAACAAACATATCTTAAACGTTCAAATCAACTTCTAAATCTGACCACAATCTCATTCTATTTAATTTCCATAAGAAGCAGAATAAATACAATTGAAAAAATCCAAAAGATAAACCTAAAAGATTTGAAAACATTTGGATTAAGCACCATAAAATCATGGATATGATTTATCAGTATGGAAGCAGTCTCAATACAAAGACATAAAAAAAGAGACTGAAGAACACTATGAACTACCTCTAGGAGTGGGGAAAGAAGATTTCAGCATCCCCAACCAAAGATATAGCAAAACTTAACAAAAAGCTTTTGCAACTTTAATAGAAGAACCCTTAGAACATAAATTATCAAAGGATCAAAGAGATATTGTAAGTCCTGTGGTTTTTGGATTGGCTGCATTTTGGTAAAACAACATATTGTTAGCAAGATGTTGAACCAGATGGTCTGCCATGTCAGTCAGACATCATGTTCTACATGATGTTGTGACATGTTCCAGGACATGTTATACCATATAATTTGGGCATGACTATTTTGGTTTTTTTAGTGTGATTTTTTAGTGTGTTCTGATGCACACGTGGACGACTTTTATGGGAGTATATTGTGGAAGTTTCTGTTATTGCAGATTCTGTTACTTTTCATGCAAAGGGTCCTTGAGCCTTTTACGAAAGTTTGTATTTTTCTCCTATTATTATACAGGTTAATTTTAATTCAGTTTATACTGATTGCTGCTATTTGTACGCCTCAAGAAGCCTAAGTCCAGTAGGTCTGAAGGCTATTTCTAGAGAAGAAAACCCCTATTTGAAGAAGAGAGCATATCGTGAAGAATTTAGAGAATTAGGATTAACAGTTGTTTTGGTTGGTCCCTAGGGTTTCCATTTGTTAATTGTATGTCACTCATGTATCTTCTGATGCATTGGGTTTGACTAATTGTTCATTGTTCACTCAAAGCTTTTAAACAAAGAGTGTATTATTCTTGGTTGAAACTTTTAAGCAAAATCGAGTATTCTTTTGGAAGCGTGATCTTCTGTTTTATTTTTTTGTATACAGTCACTGGGATTGTGATTGTTTGATATCACTGAGGTGATTAGGGAGTGATAGGGGCCACATATCTAGGAGTTCCTAGGTAGAAGTTGCATTGGGTAGGGATTAAGCGAGGAGTTGTAAACTGGGATTGTTTAGCTTCGAATTAATACTACTGATAGTGGATTTCTTTCCTGGCTTGGTAGCCCTCAGATGTAGGCGAGTTGCATCGAAATGGGTTAACAACTTTGATGTTATTTATTTTTTGCAATTTACAGTTTTTGTTTGTTGAGTGTTCAAGCTGTGTTTTGATCCAAGTGTTGTGACATCTATCTCAACATTTGGTATATGCGTGCCAAAATTTCAAATATAAAACACGATTGACACTCTCCTCTACCATGAAGAAGTGTGATAGGCTTAGAGAGCCAAAACGCATTGGCTCAAATAGGGGGGCAGAAACACTAAATTCTTCCACAATAAAGCCAACCAAATAAAAACACAAAAAGTGATTAAATCTATCCTAAATTCCAATATATATACTACTTACAAAAAGGAGGAAATTTATAGCACCATGGTGAATTACTATAAAAATCTTTTCAAGATTTATAACACCACGTGTGGACAGGATTGATATACTAAAAATCTGCCCAGAATCAGCAAGAACAAACTACAACCCTTGAACCACCTTTCCATACATATGAGATTTACATAGCTATGAAACGTCTGAGGAGCAATGTGTCGCTACTCGAAAAATGCAACGACGGGGAGGCGAAAAGGAAAGGACAGAAGAGTCGCCACCGAACTTTATTTATCCCATGAGGGGAAAGGAAAATATCGAGAAAACCTTAAGAAAGAAATGGATAAGATGGTCTCGCGACCAAGAACGGGTTCGGAAGCCGGTTATGTGAGGGGAAGGTATTAGCACCCCTCGCATCCATCGTACTCGATGGGAACCTTTTGTTTGTCGATGTGTGAATTTATTTGCTTAAATATTATGCTATAAGAAGAAGGTTCCACTGGGTAAAAGAAGGGTTTGAAACAAAAAAGTTAGGAGGAAAGAGAGAACGGGGAAAAAGGGAGAGAACGGACTCGGTAGGACTTCGCAGTCCTATGCCTACGTATTCTCAATAGATGTGAGAAAGTCAGAGTCGACGTAGTTCGGGAAACTACAGATATGGGGGATTGTGCTCGCCAAGGATTGTGGCCCTTGTGCCTACGTATTCTCATCTGGTATGAGAAATCAGAGCAGCCGTAGTTCGGCCTACGGTGTGTTGATGTTTTTTATGGATGATGCTATCGTGCGCATTCTAGCAGTTAGGTGTTCCACTGCTCGCTCGTTGGAGACTTAGGCGTTACCTGTTTGCGGTAGAACGGTCGTAGCATATCCTTTTTGAAAGATTGATTAGTTTTCGCCCCGCAGGGCTAGAAGTCACATTTGATTGATTGGATTGTTTTTTAGGGGGGAGAGACATGTCCTCGAATAGTAACCCCTACGGGTAGTACCCAATTCATTGTCTCAAAGTTTTTGTTGTAAAAATGTGTGGCGAACATAGCGTCTTCGTATTGAAAGACGAGTATCAAGACCACACACACTACAGTGAGTATCCTGACACTCGGAGAAGAAGAGGTCTACACCCAATCCTCTCTCTTTAATTCAATGCAAAGAGAACTTCGTTCTCTTATTAAAGATGTTTTTGGTCTTGAATGGTAAGTGCTTTGCGACAGAGAACCCTACGGTAAACGTCAGTACTCGGGATAGGAGAAGGCCTACGCCTAACCACTCCACGACCATTCAAGTTTTAATGTGAAAATGATTTGAAAATGCACTCAGTACAGGACCGAGGTTTTAGGTGTGAAAATTGTGGAAGGAAGTTGTGAAAGCGAGATGGTGGATAAAAGCGCGTTTTCGTATCGAAAGACGAGTGTCGAGACCACCCTCGCTACAGTGGGCATCCCATCACTCGGAGAAGAAGAGGTCTACACCCAATCTTCTCTCTTTAATTCGATACAAAGAGAAATTAATTTATTATTGAAAGTATACTCAGTACGAGACCGAGGTTTTATGAGGAGATGTTGGAAGCGTCTTTGTATTGACAGGCGAGCATCGAGACCACCCTCACTACAGTGGGTATCCCTACGCTCGAAGAAGAAGAGGTCTACACCCAATCCTCTTTCTTTAATTCGATACAAAGAGAAATCAAATTATTATGGTTTGAAAAAAAAGACTCGGTACGAGACCGAGGTTTTTATGAGGAAATGTTGGAAGCGCCTTTGCATTGACAGCCGAGCATCGAGACCACCCTCACTACAGTGGGCATCCCTACGCTCGAAGAAGAAGGGGTCTACACCCAATCCTCTCATCGAATTCAATACAAAGAAATGATTTTAGGGAGATGAGATTTGAAAATGGATGGGAAACATTTTCGTATTGAAAAACGAGTGTCAGAACCACCCTCACTACAGTGGGCATCCCAACACTCGGAGAGGAAGAAAGTCTAAACTTAATCCCCTCCTTTTAATTCAATACAAAGAACTGGTTTTTTTGAGAAATGTTACAAGATACAACGCGAGCAAACCCTAATGGAGGGTCGACTTTCAAGTAAGTCCAAGCTCTTGAA